TTGCGCCGACCATCTCAGCCCCGGACAACACCACCGACAACCTGGGCCAGCCCCCCGTCTCTCCCTGGGTGCAGCGCGGCTCGGAACCTCAGCCTCCCATTGCTCGACCCAAGTCCTCCTCGGGCCAGCAGCCGATGGGTCAATTCAGCCAGAACCCCTCCAGCCTGCGTTCACCCTTGCCCACCCAGACCGCCACCATCCCCGCTCCGGAAATCGATGCTCCTCTGCTCTCTCCTTACAATGTTGGAAATGCCAGCTGGGCTTCCATGACCAACACCCCGATGACGGCTACATTTGGGCAGCAGGCGCAGCACCCTCCGCAGAACTCGCAGGCCGATATGGTGGCTAACGCTACAGCGATGAAATTGGCTGCTTTGTCGACCGTGAACAATCGGATCGCACTCGACGATGCTCGCAAGTACCGCCGTGCCCGCTCGAACGATGGCCAGGGCAAGAGCTCGGTCAGCCACCTGGGTCCCCCGCCTCTGGCCAGCCCAGGACTTCCCACTCCCAACCAGCTCATGGCCAATCAGTTGTTGAATGCTCAGCAGCTGGCCGCTCTGCAGGCGCAACAGCACGCCGCCATGGCTGGTCACCGTTCTCGTCCGACGTCGCCTGGAATCGCCATGCAGGGCGGTGGCCTGGGACACATGAACTTCACTTCCCCTCAGAACAACGGTTTTCTCGCTGCGTACGATCCCAACAACCCGCTCATGGGTAATGGGCTGAGCGCGCTAGGCATGGGACAGTTTGGGTTGGGCGGCCACGAAGGCTACCTCTCGGACCACTCGGAGGTGGCTCGTGGTCGGTCGCCGCGCGGACGTCGGGGCAGCTCGAAGCCGCCAGAGGATCCCACGGACCCGGCTCTGCTGAAGGATATTCCCAGCTGGCTGAGATCGCTCCGGTTGCACAAGTACACTGAGAACCTGAAGGACCTCAAGTGGACGGAGCTGGTTGAGCTGAACGACAAGGCTCTGGAGGAGCGTGGCGTGAATGCTCTTGGTGCTCGCAACAAGATGTTAAAGGTGAGTTCTACTTGGAGATACAATAGCAGCAGACAACAGGCAGAAAGCTGACCATCTGAAACAGGTGTTTGAGCAAGTGCGCGAAGCCAAGGCCGACGGCAAGCTCGACAACATCGCTTGAACGAAACGCAGGGATTGCATGCGACTATCCCAACCATTCCACTCATTCATTCCTTCTTGAACTGAACGACGTTTTCTGCTTACATTCTCTCTATTGCATTAATTGACCTCGATTGGCTTTGGGCATAAGTGGCAGGATCCGAAATGAACCTATGAGCGATCTCATATCGGCATGAATCTTTGGGAGGAAGTTGTCTAGTAATGGAACATGAGAAGCTGTTTCCCAGTTGATTGGTTTTTTTTTTCTTGCTGTATTTTCCATGTTGATGCAGACATGCTTGGGGCTGTGTCTCAAGGGTGTCGATGTTATGACGGATAGGATGTTAATGTGATAATTGGACAAAGGGAATTGACTGGATTTGGTCTGTAGATACTCCTTTAAAAGACAAGGATGAATGATACTGTATAGTATTGGTACTTGGAAGTAATCTGTTACTTTGTAGAATGTAGCTTTTATCGGCGGAATGGCTATTGATAGCTAGCACTGACTCGGTAGCTTAGCTGATAGCTAAGCGGAGAGAAGCGGCAGAATCCCCAACTCGCTAGCATCATCACCATCACCACCATCACCCACGACCTCAATCCCACACCCCATCAACCTTTTACAAAAAAACCCCTCTACCTTCCCACAAACGGGGCGGAATATACACTCAAAATGCCACCCACAAAACAAGAACTCTCCCTCCTAATCAACCCCCTCGTCCCGGAGTCCCTCGCCCACAACAACCGGGTAAGCCAGCCCTTTCCTTTCCTTTTCCTTTCCCTTACCTCCACCTCCACCTCCACCCCGTACCGTACCATGCATGCTAACCCACCTCTGGAAAAAATAGGTCCTCACCTCCCTCCACAGCGTGACCGCCTTCCTGCTAGGCCTGACCGCCGGGATCCTCTCGCTGCAGTCGGCGACGGGCTTCGCCTTCTACTTCCTCGGCACGGTGGTCGTGTCCGCGCTGTTCCACGCGCTGGTGCTGTATCGGTCCCGGGGCTGGGGCGCCGGGATGTATTTTGCGGGCGCGCAGGGGGAGGTCTTGGGGCTGGATGAGCGGGGGATTGTGCGGGGTGTCTCTTCCTCCACCACCAGCAGCAGTACCGCTGACAAGTCGGCGAAGAAGATGGTGCGGCGGGCGGCGTGGCGGGATGTTTGGTTTGGGGGTGGGGTGCTGGGGGAGGCGTTGTCGGGGTTTGTGTTGGGGTGGGCGGGTGTTGGGGGGGTTTTGCGATGATTTCTTGTTTACGGGGTTGGGGAATGGGGCTTTGTTCAGGGGTGCGGAGGCCCGGGGTGTGAGCAGCTAGCCACGCTGATTGGGTGTGGAGGGGATATCGGTTGGGTTGAATTGAAAAATGGGGGAAGTTATCTAATGAATGTTTATAGTTCGGTTGTTCTATAATGATTGTATGTGCCTATGTAAGTTGCTCGGCTGGGTGTCATCTAGGCTTGCTGGTCTGTTTGTAAGACTTCAGATTGCCCTGCGTTGAGTATGAGTAATTGCGCTTCCCATAAGCACAACGGGGGGATGGACTCACCTTGGCTACGGCCCAGAGATAGGGCACGTGGATCACCTCGCTTCGCGCTTCGCCCCCATCTTCTACGACGTTGACCCATACATTCCCCATGATCAGCCCCGTCAGCAAGCTCACTCCCATGATCGGGAGAATCGCGATGAATGCCCACATGATCGCGTCCTTCCTTGCCGCCCGGATCGCCTCTTGTGCAGCAGCCGACAGCCCATCCAGCATGGACAGGGAACTCTGGTCGTGGACGTTCAGCGGTGTGCCGCCATCCCCAAGTCCCTGGACGGCCGCGGAGTCACCGAACTTGTTGTTGAACACGCTGGTCATGATGGTCAGGCCGATGGTGCCGCCGAACGGCAACGAGACCTGCATCAGGGACATGGCGGGAGCGATCCTCTCGGGCCAGACGCCCACGGTGTGCAGCGAGGAGGGGACCAGCCGTAACCCGATGCCCGCGCCGGTGACGACCATCATGCCGCTGAGAAGACTGGTGTTCTCGGCGCTGATGGCGTAAGAGATCACCGCCAGCCCGAGGGTGCTGAGGACTGCACCCAAGGTGAGAGGGAAGAAGGTCTGTCGGGGGAAAATGTTGCACATGTATACGGCAGAGTAGACGCCTCCTGAGTCATACTGTTAGTGCATCGATCAGCGTTATGGGGCGGAGGAGAGACGCTGTACCTCCTAGACCGGGAATGTAGTATAGAAGCTCGAGTCCAGACTTCGACGTGGAGTATCCTGCCACGAGGATGTAGTAGATGCTGATGAAATAGAAGATGGAGTAAGACGCTGATAAAGTGTCAGCGACTACCACGCAGTTACGAGTGAAATATGTCAGCCTTACCTGCTCCCGTCGCAAAGTTCAGTATCGCCAGCCAGATCGTGTCTCTTCGTTCAAAAAGACTGTATGGCAGGACTGCAACATGCCTGGGGAATATTCTGGCACACAATCTGCCTGGCTCGAGCAAATACTCGTATAGAACAAATGCCACAAAACATATTGAGCCCACGATCAACGGCGCCAGAACCTGGTGTGACGACCACGAGTATGCCGCACCTCCCCAGGTGGTCGCCAAGATGATGAGGCCCACCCCAAAGATAAAGAGAATCGATCCTCCGAGATCCACCGTCGCAAGAGCCGGGAGCACAGATGACCATCTAGAGCCCTTTTTGAACATGGACCCTTCGACCAGATCATGTCGTAGCAACACATAGACCAGAATATGGCTCAGTGCAGCAATCTTACTATCTAGTTAGCACAGCTGCACTTCCCAAATCAAAAAAATCTTGCTCAACTTACCGGGATGGGAACCACAAAACAGTATCTCCAGTTCGTCTTCGCACTGTCAGCAGCTGTTTCACATCAGTGTGGATCCATGAGACTCACTTGAGTTAGATACCTGACCCTCAGTGGTTAGCGAACCGCGCCCAGAAGAGCACAGAGAGGGAGAGAGAACATACCCTCCAACAATGGGCCCCACCGCATAGCCCACACCTCCAACAAGCGTGAACAGCGACTTGTTCCTTGCGTTCTCCTTCAACGAGACCTTATCCGCCAAGATGATCATGATCAAATTCCCCAACCCGGCGGATCCGGTGCCCTGCAACGCCCTGCCGAGCAGCAGCATCCCCCACGTCTGCGCCGCCGCACACAGCACGCTCCCGACGAGCATAAGAAATATCGCTGTCTGCAGCACCCAATGCCGCCCAAAGACGTCGGCTAACTGACCGAAAATCGGGATAAAGGTCGTCGATGTCAGGCTGAAGGCCGTGACGATCCAGTTCAACTCATCGAATTGACCTATCGTTCAGGATTAGAACCTGACTACCAATGTCCCAGACCTTAATGAGAAGGAACACTTACCAAAGTGCGATGCGATGACGGTGGTTGCAGTGGCCACAATAGTCAAGTCCAGGGTGGACAAGATGAAAGGCAGAGAGAGACCGGCGATGAGTCTCAGTCGATACATGCGCCGCTGGCGCTTCTGCTCATGGCAGATACTGCAATTCTCATGGTGGTCTGTAGGAGTGAGCACTTCAGCTGAGTCGGCGGTCGACTTATGCGCCGAGGACTCAAGGTCTTCATTGCCAGTAGTAGCTAACTCGTGATGGTGTCCTTGTGAGCGATGCAGACATGGCTGCTTTGCCGGACGGGAAGTCGAGCCATGCCGTTTCTGACGGAAATATCTGATGGCTGTGATGATCATTTCATACAATAGGTCCTCGTTGGGGTACTGGAAGAATGAAACCCTAGTTTCTGTATGTCAAATTGCAAGTATCAAAGTAGGAAGCAGCACTTATATAGGCAGCCTGTGTCTTGCCTTGCTGACACGAAGCTCCTTGAAGCAAACCACCTCGACATGACTCCATACAGTCAGTATTGCGAGCTTGCACCAAGATTCGTGGCGATGCTGGAAAGATGAGCTCGGTAGCTGGGCTGGTGCTGGATTCTCCCGATTGGGCAGGTGTCACGGACGGCATCTGATTCACCCGCATGCATTTCCAGAACCGGCAAGGGTTGCGAAAGGCTTAATCTCAGCCGCTTTGCGCCTGAATCTCCAGGCAGCCACTGTCTTGCACCCAGGGTCTTGTACCTGGGCCTCGACATGATGGCTGCACAGCCAATAAGTTATATCTCGCAGAGCGTCAGCCTCGTTTCAGCCACAGCCTAAGCCGCTCGACTTCACTCACAGTCGCGATGACTTTTCTAGACTGCAGCCTGTGTCTAGCTGCTGAGACCACACGACATCGTCAAGCGCGTAATGTACAGCAGTCTCATTCATCAATGCAGACCACCGCCTGACACATCTCGCTTTCATTTCCTGGTCGAGTAGAATGAGAAAGGTCAAGCAGTAACAGGAATGAAACGGCCACACGACTTCTATCTCAGCAGTCAGCCCAAGACCCTCGCGGAATTTCTGCTACTGCACCACAGAACTGAAATCAATACCTATATCCCTATGAGAACAACGAGCCAGGGCAATGACTGACATCGCTGACAACACGCCGTGCGCTGCTCTGTCTCTTATCTTGCATGACATTGACTACCTTCGGACCTCCGTCGGAGGAGACTAGACAGTATGGCGACAGATGGTGCACCCAAACCCCGCATTATCACCGTAGCGTAGCACATGGCCACACCAATTGAGCCAATGAACTAAACGCCCTGGTCAGCTCTAAGCCTGTCAGCATCCCATCCCAGGACTCTGCCAAGTGAAACCAAAAACACATATACTCGCAGCGTAAACACGAAGCCGCCGCAACAAGACTTCCACCTCTTCCCAAGAAAATGCACCAAAGCCAACCTCCCCCCTTAAAACCAGAAGCCGCCGCCGCCGCCGCCGCCGACGACGACGACGAGAACATCTGGACCCCACTGCAACTCGCCGCCGCGCAAGGCGACCTACCCCTCGTGAAGCACCTCCTAACCCAGCAGCAGCAGCCACCACAAAACCCCAACGAACCCCCACGAGGCTACTACGGCCACACCGCGCTGCAAGCGGCCTCGCTTAACGGCCACCTAGCCATCGTCGAGACCCTGTTATCCGCCGGCGCCGCCGTCGACCTCCCCGGCGGCAACAACGGCGGACGGACGGCGCTGGTCCTGGCGGCGGGGGCGGGCCACCTCGGCGTCGTGCGTCATCTGGTCGTCGCGGCAGGCGCGGAGATCAACCGGCCACCGCACAAGTACAACGGGCGCACGGCGCTGCAGGCCGCCGCGGAGGGGGGCCATGCCGCGGTGGTGCGGTGGCTGCTGGCGCAGGGGGCGGACGTCAACGCGCGCCCGGCAATCAACCGCGGCCGCACGGCGCTGCAGGCGGCGGCGAGTGAGGGCCACGACGGCATCGTAGAGCTGTTACTGCAGCATCCGTACAGTGCCGAGGTGAACGCCCCCGCGGTCCGGTATCAGGGGGTCACGGCGCTCCAGGGCGCGGCGTGGGCGGGACACCGCGCGACGGTGCGGCGGCTGTTGGCCGCCGGCGCGGAGGTAAACGCCCCCGGCGGCCAGTACAAGGGCTACACGGCGCTGGCGGCCGCGGCGGAAGGCGGCCATTTGGAGGTTGTGCGGCTGCTGTTGGATGCCGGGGCGGATGTGGCGATGCGATCCGGGAATAAGATGTGGACGGCCGCGCGGATGGCGGTCTCGCGAGGCCACGGAGAGATCGCGCAGCTTTTACGGCAGGTTGAGCACAACGCCGGCGTTGTGGGAGTGGATGGCTGTGTGAATGAATATGAGGGGGGGTTGGTCAGATCGGGGTCAAGGTGGAGCCAGTTAGCCTGTCGTTATTAAGCTTATTTGATCCCAGGGACCACCAGCTTTTTCGTCCCTGGGGTTCCGTAGGGTCTATGTATATTTTTAGAATGGGAAGACTACTATTGTTGACCTTCATAGTAAGTATGCTGGATACCATATGTTCAGTCCATCAAGAACGGCTGAAGCCATATTAGCTTCTGCCACACAATAGCTACACGCGAACCCAACTCTGGACATGAAAAACTAAGAATCTCGTCAAAAATGTGCATTAGATCATGTTCCTCCACCCTCAATTAGTTCCATCTATATACAATCCAAGTGACATCAGGGGGTATAGCTTTGACCAAGAAACCGAAAGAACTATCACAATAAATCCGCACGTCCAAACAAATCGCTATCTTCAAGTCAAATGACAAAAATGCCAATATATCATCCAGTGTAAGTATGTTCATGTCGAAAGAAAAGCTCCATCCAGGGAGTCCTTCTTTTTTTTTTCTTCTCCCTTCTTTCTCTCCATAAGAGGCTTCAGTCGAGTTCCTCAGGTGGCGCGTTGGCAAGAGCACTCTCAAGGGCACTAGTTAAGTCGATGTGGAAGAAGGGCCGATTGATGCCCTGCACCACGGCCACCTTGCGCCGATTGCGGTACGCCTTGCTGTCGTTCAGGTCATGCTGCAACTTGTCCTCGGGAACGCTGCTGATATCCGAGCCTTCCTCGACACCGTGAGTCTCCCGCATCGTCGTGTGACCTTCGTGCTTGATACCGTCCTCCTCATCACGCTTTTGCGCGGCGTGCTGGGCGTGCTGGTTGTTGAGCATTTCGGCATGAGCGGCGGCGGACGACCGGCCTTCGATCTCGGCCACACTGAAGATCGGCTTCCAGCGGTGGAATCCATTGTCGGAGTTGGGGGTCGGGAAGCCGAAGCCAGCGGCAGCCAGCGCCCGTTTGGTCCACCGGTTGTTGAGGTGAGCGAAATGCCACTGCACAGCGCGAGGGGAGGCGTAGAGATCCAGTTGGTTGCGCACGTCGATCAAGTTCTGGATGGAGGTCACATCGACATTGTTAACGGAAGAGAAGTCGAGAATGACGGCACGAAGCAGGGGCCGTTGCGAGCGCTGCTCCTCTTGGGCAGAGTTTTTGCGAGGGCCAGGGTCGTTCCAAGGACGGTCGCCGCGCTGCTCGTAGGAGAACGGAATCGTGCGTCGTGTCTCGCGGAAAATGGTCTGGACCAGGTAGTCGGTGTAATGATTCGCATTCGGGTAGTTGAAGCCCTCGGAGAACCGGTAGATGAAGATACCAGGGTAGGGCTGTTCCAAACCCACCTCGGGGTTGGAGCCATCAGCGTGGTTGAGGGGAAGGAAGATTGAGCGACGAGAACCCTCCTCATCACGATCAGGAGAGTTGCTGTTGTTACCCGGGCCATACTTGCCATCGCCTTGCACAAGATGATCGCCGATGACTGAGTGAATGGTGACGCGGCCGAGGAACTGGCCACGAGCCTTAGCGACACGGAACAGAAGCACAGCCACGGAGACACAGATGGTGCAGTAAATGCCGTCCTCGATGGATGAGAAAACGGTGACGATGACACCAATGAAGAAGATGAGCGCATCGATAGGTGAGACGCGCCAGAATTGGTAGACGGTGTTGGGAGGAGTGATCAGATCTCCAACGGCATGGATAATGACACCAGAAAGAGCAGCCTGTGGAATGTAGAAGAAGACGGCTGTCAGAGCGTAGATAGCAAGCAGCACAACGATAGCGGTGATGACACCGGCCAGTGGAGTCCGAACACCAGCCTTCGACTTGATGGCAGTGCGCGAGAAAGATCCAGTGGCAGGGTAAGCACCCAGGAAAGGACCGAGCAAGTTCGTGACACCAATAGCGACGAGTTCCTGGGATGGATCGATGGTGTAGTTGTTGACACGACCGAAGGACTTCGAAATAGCGATGTGTTCGATCAGTAGGACAATGACGCAGGCAGGAAGTTGGCTGGCGAAAACCGAAATGACTTCCGAATCGACACGAGGAACACCGGCGTCTTTGAAACCTGTTGGCGTAAAGAACATCGTCAGTTCTAGAAATATCAACTATAGTCAGGCAAGAAAATACCTCTTGGGACATTGCCAATAACGTTGAACATAGGGTCATCCTTGCGGTGCAGATTGACGGCAGCACTGATCATGGTGTAGAACAGAATCACAAAGACCGTACGCAAAGTCGACGCGAAGAACCAAAGCTTAGCCTTTTGGGGGTATTTGCGAGCAAGGAAGTTGCAAGCGGAGCGAATCATGTACAGCATGGCCAGAGAGGTAACTCCCAGAGCAGCGTCGATACCAGCGGACGGCAGGTGCTTGAGCGAGTTTATGATAATCATGTACGTTGCATCGCGGGTGGAGAACGAGGCCGACTCGCCTAGCAAGTTCTTGACCTGACCGGAGGCGATGTTGAGAGCTGAACCCGTCATGAAAGCAGAAATGGCGGGCAATGGGATGAAATCCACAATGAATCCGAGGCGAAGCAATCCTAGAGCACAAACGATGCCACCGCTGACGATAGCCAAACACGATGCGACGACATGTCCCGGAATATTCGGGTACTTGTCTTCGGCGTCGAGGACGATGGTTCCAACCAAGGTAGACATAACGGCAACGGGCTATATGAGAGAACATTAGGCACGCCATGATTTCAAATGCAATGCAGAGGAACATACACCGATGGTGATATCTTTGGAGGTTGCGAAGAACCAGTATAGCAAGACACCCATGAAAGACGAATAGAGACCATATTGAACAGGCAGTTCAGCCAGCTTAGCGTATGCCATCCCCTGAGGAACGACGACAGCGCCCACAGTGATACCTGAATGTCCCCGTTAGGCCCCGATCAAGTCGTCGTTTTTGAATGAGTGGCTTACCAGCAACCAAATCACCTATGAGCCATTGTGTGTTGTACCTCGTGATCCAAGACAGGAATGGAAATAGTCTGTAGAAGTATCGGCCTACATCGTGCCAGCTAGGAGTGATCTCCTTGAACCATTCAGCAGTCGTCGGTTCCTGCTCCAGATAGGAATAGGTGTCAATCGTGCCGTAGGAAAAGGTAGATTCGCCTCTGGTGACCGGATCTGCTTGGGCGCCCAAGGGATCTCGGTAGGCTTGTTTGATACCGAGACCCTTGGCCAACCCCTGACCGACTTTGGTTGTGAAGTCTTTCGACATCTTCGTTGTGGTCGACTCGGGTGGCGATACCGGCGAGTTCTATGAAGTAGGGCTAAAAAGTGCCCGGAACCACTAGACCACTAGGGCTCTGTTGGGTGTAGCAGATAAAAACGCTTCACAGAAGTAATAAAAAAAATGAGAGAAATGGGCTCCAGTGTTTATGAACAAGGTCAGCCTCCAGGGATATCGATCAAAGACCCCAGCAGACTTGGGGAGTGAGATAATATAGTCGTAGTAGTCCGTGGTGGAGGCGGGAACAAAGTGGGCTTAAAATGGGGATCGGAAAGCCAAGAAACGATGTCGTGATCGGGAGCTCCAAACGCGAAATATCAAACCTGCCCACCCGAGGCGTCCAAGCTCGGGATCTAAACCGGACAATGGATGGACAAGACAAAGCTAAAGATCAAGCTAAATCAAGGGCCAAAGATGACAACCAGCACCTAGATCCCACTAATAGGCCTGGACTGGCTTCCAAGAGTTCGCACTTCACCGATAGATTGAGTGGTTGTGTGGCTTGGGTGGCGCACCGCGGGGACTGGGACTATGCAACAACTATTTTGGAAGAGGACCGAAGGGCCGCGCGGAATGTCCACGGAGAAGAGGGGAGGAAGCACGGATGGATATCTATAAATCCGGGAAACAAAAAAGGGAGAACTGCGGCAGTTTTATGTGGATGGCGTCGTCAGAGAGAAGTGGGTGACACACGACTCTTCGTCGCCCGTGGAATTTGATGCAAGTCGATCATCACCACTAGCACAGGCCCCAAGAGGCAACCGGACATGGGGACGGGGAGGCACTAGGATACACGGCGGTAAACCAAGGACAAATTAACATCGTCCGACGTGGAAACCATCCCAACAGCAAGCCGAACACAGGGAACACGCAGGCGATGAAGGCAGCTGATCCACCTAGGGATCGCCCAAGGGCAGGAACAGAGGCAGGCGAGGGAGCCGTCTGGGAATTACTGCAGGCCCCGAGGAGATCCTTCACCACATCTGCATCGCGCATACATGGCAGTAGTCTAGTCTAGAGAGGCACCAGGAGGGACAAGCTTGTCAGAAACCAAGCTGGCGTAAGAGAATCGTTTTGAGTGGGTTCCTAGCCCGGGGAGGTTGCAGGGGGGGGTGCGTGTGGTCTGGAAGCGACGAAGATGACGATGAGCCGTGGAGCTGCAACGCTTCCGCCCACCGGCGGGGCCCATGGCTAACCGTGGGCAACTTTATCCGCCCGGCAGTACCGCAGATTTCACCTCGTGTAGATCTCTTGGTAACTCATGAACCGGATGAAAGGAATCAAAGGACAGAAATTGACAAATCTGGGTGAGACCACGAAACGACAACATGACGAGAGTAAAGAAAGTGATAGGTGATGGAGAGGATGGAGTGGATGAAGTGGAATGGAGAGTCGAAGTGGGAAAAGTCTCCATCTGATAATTATTGCCAAGGCAGACCGCCCGCCGACCGAGGAGATTTTCACAGGACTCCAGGCTATCACCAATCAGCGAAGACCCAGGGAGATGGCGACCCTCTCTGCGGTGGACAGGCCAAAACCAATGGGAGCCGCGGCAGAACACGCCATCGCAGGGGTTGATGGTGAAAACCTTCCATCTTAGGGTAGGCCCACGTGTGGGTTCGCCATGACGAGTGACTGACTGAATCTCTCGTGTTGCTGCGCTGCTGTGATTATTAGACTAGGTACGGAGTACTGCAAATGTATTGATCTCAGACCTCTGAAGGACTGAAAGTTTGGTGGCTGCTGTCTTAATCTGTTTGCTTCTTACACATTACAGATTAGCACATGGCAACCTTTTGGGTCACCAGACTTGTAACACACGAAGACTGTTCTCAACTTCTTCCAAACACCTCCTTCGCTTCCTGTTGCCGATTGGTCTTGGCACGTGCGGAAGAGGGTACGTACTTTCTGGAAGTACGTACGTACACCTACCCCTGTCGAGCCTCAGTCTGTGCTTTTCGCTCGTCTGACTGACCAGGGGGGCTGTTGCTGCTGTTGCTGCTGTTGCTGCTGCTGCTGATCATTCTTCTCGTTCAGTCGAAGAGCAAGCATCCTTCTCAATCTCTCTCTCGGAGAACGAGCCCGAAGAGGACGTGCTAAGCTGCTAGGTACACTAACCAAAGTATAGTTACTAGGTCCTCAGTAAAAAGGTACTATATGAAGCTGGGCAACCTCATGCTGCTCCTCCAATAATCCCCCAGGAACCCTCACTCTTGCGCAATATTTATGCCAATCACACCATAGTCCGGTTCTCTTGACTGCTGCAGGGCTTTCTTAGCTGCTTCTACGCCCCAGTATTGCGCCATCAATCTTATCGTGGTGACATGCTGGCTATACAATCTACCGAGTGGTCACCTTCTGCAGACACCAGGCCATTGGACAGATTTCAGCTTCGGAGCGTGGCAGCCAAGCAGCCATGGCTTGATATTCCCTTTTCGCAGGTCTTGGAGTTGCCAATGATCCACTTACAGACCTCGTATATCCAAACCACGCCCATCTCCTCGGATTTCTTAATTTGAGATCGAAGCTTTTTCTCTCCGACGCCCGCGCTTGCTCCACCATGGGAACCTGTCAAACCGCCTAGTCAAATTAAAAGTAAGATTTCAATATGCAGTATAATTAACTATTGAGTAATATCTGATGAGCCATCCTGGTTGAATATTCATGGCGGTATGTCCGCCACAACGCTAATATCAAGGGGCCACTCCGAAAGGAACGGACTACTGCAGTTGCCACGAAGAACAGACTAATAGAATAGAATAAAATAAGAGCAAAAAAGAAACACACTCCCCCGATCTCGGACCATGTTCCAACATCATCCATGATATATCGTATTCCTCCCCAATGAGTCCGTAGTGTCTCGCGATCACGACATCCCCATCCTCATACCTCAATTCAAAGACTGGGAGCTCGCTTCCATGGCCCCATGCAAACATACTTCCTGAACCGCCGTCGCGATCCCTATACTCCCAACTCTTGGAAGACGCTAGCCAGGGGAGGTGGACTTCAATAAACGCTTGTCGGACACGAGACATCTTCTTTATTGAACCCGCCAGAAGTCTCTATGTGCCCCAAACTTTGTGGATGAGGCGTTACATCGACATCTAGATGGCGTGGCAGCCAATACGACCAGCTCCCGCAATTGCTTGGATGGTATTACCATTGTTCGCATGATCAGCTATGCGAGGCTTAAACTAGGATGAAGCCGTAGCAGCCGCGGTTCAGGGTTCCCAGGCACATCACAGCCAAGGATGGCGTCTTCAACTCAGATTGGCGATCTAGATGACCTGCCGCGATCATGGCAGTGGCCAGAAATGCCCGGCAGCATTGTTCCTCGGAGATGACGGAGAAGAGAGAAAATCTTATAGCCAATGCCGACCTAGTTGCTCATGGCAGGATCGTGGGTCAACTCACCTGTGTTATACAGAGCATACGAGAAGGGTCCATTGCCACCGGCTTGGCCACAATATAGCATGTAACAAGAAACTTTTGAGCAGGAGCCACTGCAGGCCAATCCCTGTCACTCCATCTCGTCTCGCTCGTTCGCATCCAGTAACCGTGGACTTGCCTATCAGCCATGTCTAGCCGACATGAAGAAAGTTGAAGGCACGCCTCCCAAGGACCCCATCCTCCAACAAGAGCATGGCATGAAAGGACACACTCGTGCCGTCCACTGGGTAAGCGACCATGCATCCTTTATCTCGAACTACCCAGTCGCAGCACGGTTACGCCACCGAAGGAGCTCGCTTAGCGAGAGTTCTGAACGGTCTGCATGATCCATGCCACTCAATTCATCATCTTCACATCCGCGGAGCTATCGGAGAAGACTCCTATTTTTGTCCAAGAGCCAGCAAGGTAACGAATGTATGCCATCAAACCAAAGGGGGGCGAAAGAAAGGTCAAAGCGGTCTGCAAAGCTCTCTCAGCCGTTGAAGTAATAAGACCCAACCACACATACAAACAACAAAGACAAAAGGTGATCGATCCTTCGCTCGTTCAAAAAGCAATATACATGGAGAAAACCGCCCCCCTTCCCCCGGAGAGGCCGCTCTTCCTAGCATCACACCTCACAAAGACAAATATTGTGTGATTCTCAATCGGGTTGCAGCATTCGTATTACCATGCGTGTGTGTGGCTGTGGGTGTAATTGGCTGCTAATCTCGCTTCTTATATTGCTGACTGTCCTCATACCCATTATACAATCACGCAAGCGCCAGCTAATGAGATAAAGCCCTAAACCCCGTTCTTTTCAGCTGCCGGCAGGCAAGGTCTAGCTTTGAGCTGCCATGGAAAAAAAAAATGCCAATCTTGCTGGACTTGACATCAGCGGCGATAGTGAGGGGGTGGTTTTTTCCCTTAGTTGATTCCTTTGAATCCTCAGCTGTCTCTCTATTACTGACGCAATCTTTCGAGACAGGAGGCGCTGGGAGATGCTAAGCGATGGTGATTACCGAGCATGTATGAAGAGCACCTATTTGCAACAAATTCAAATCCAGAGGAGACAGAAGTAGGCCCGCTCCAGCAGCCACATGTCGAGCGTGCGTTCGCACGGATGCGGTGGTCGCAAGACCTGGCCTCTATCGTTGCCATAGCCCCAATCTAAGAAGTAGAGATGCCTCTCTTCAGTCCGGGTGCTCAGTCAGTGTTCTTCCTTTGCCGCGCTGCTAAATCGTTATTCTCTTAATGCTGTGTAGATACTAAACTATTCCTAATGATATGTGGATACCAAACTTTTCCCTCTCGCAATGTCAACCACTCGGACACTCCTCCAACGTCGATCGGCACATGACCTCTAGCACATAGAGAGAGACTGTGTTCGATACCGAATGCACAGGAAGGACTCTACATGGAAAAAGAGCACTGCCACCTGCCCGAGCCCTAGCCTAGCTAGCCTATTCACACGAGTAGTCTTTTAAAATGACTTCCTACTGTGGTTCTCTGCTTCTCGTCCGAGTCCACACGGTGCCTCGCATAGTCTACTGTCTCTACATAATCCCATCGCGAAGCAGCTGAGTAGCTGTTCAACTCAGTGAGATACGAATACCCTCTCTAAGATCGTTGCGCATTATACACTATGCCAAACCTGTGATACCAGGCACCAAAGAAATATCGACCACTTTGACAGTTTATCCTGACAGCACAACAGGTCTTGAAATGGCCCAGGCAACGACTTTCTCTGAAGCAGGGAGTCCATTTTGCTTAGCACTCCTTACAATCTCATAGCGGCGTCGCCAATGACATTGTTTGTGCAAACCACCTTCACAACAAATCAAATCTAAATCCAAGTCTCAAGCTCAAGCAACAGAGGTATAAGACTTCCCCAATCTCAAGTCGTCCTGCGACTACATGAAGTATGCATAGCCCACTATTAGAGCCTCAAATCATCTAGCATGACATGGGCTAACACGCTAGCCACAGGACTCTTTGAACTCAATGACCTACCGCACATCCACGATCCCAGATACCTTAACATGAAACGACCTGCACAAGACGACAAAACAGAATCCTTTCATGCCAACTTAGAGATCCTCAGCCCTTCACCGGATTGACCAACGGGTTTGACTCGGATGACCACACACTTCAGCATCCTTGAGGATGCTCACGTCCCAAGGTTGCACATTCTGAAGCTTGACTTTGACATGCCTTGAGCCGCGATATCAGCCTTGACCTCCGCCTCGCTTGCCCTGGAAGATCAATCATGCTGTTGCGGAGCGAGAGCTTGACTAGTCTTGTTTCTCTCAGTAGTCCGTCTTCGTCCCACTCCCACTGGGGACAAAAACTTCTTCATGGGCAGTGGGGAGTGAGACACTCAGGGGAGGTGCAAAGACCATTTCACACAAGACGCGGCGGCTACTACAAACTCCTGTCTGCCCATTGACTGCAGATGCCGCCGTGGCCTCGGAGGTGTAGTTGATTGTGATCTGTCTGTTGTTTTTCAAAGGGAGGACCAGCTTCTGCCTCACTATTCTCGCATCCACAGACATAACAACCAGGCAAAGAAATGAGCAAAGAGACAAGAGAAAATACACATGAGCTTCAAGAAATGACAACAAAGGGTCTGCGCTTGGTTTAGTTGGGGGGAAAAAAGTGATGTTCAATAGCAATTCCATCTACAGTGGATCTCCAAGGCTCATCCTGGACTTACCAAGCAAATAGCGTAATCAGTTCCTGGCCGCCGAAACATAATTGAAAAGATTTTCCAAGCAATTCCACTTAGCAGCGAGCACATTCGCAAGTATTCACATAAATCCACCAATTTTCTACCAATAACGAGGTCACGACACCCAAGTTCACGGATAAGTAACCATACAACCCGAGCCCGGGGCTCTCGGCAGTTTGGCAGATACGATGAAGTAATAGAACCCCAACTCCCGGGCTCGGCAGACCGAAGCGGAAAGAGATAAGGCCAGAGGGGGGGGGGGAAAGATAAGTTACCGACGACCGTACGCAGTGCTCGGTTAAAGATTATCGTCAAATCATAATCTTGAATCTCCGGATTCCAGAAATTCTCTTTTTCCTTGCTCTAATCTGCTGTCAGAAGTGACATTCGTCTCCCTCCCTTTTCCCCCGCAACCCCGCATCAAACAACAACACCACCACCACCACCACCATCCACCATGGAAACCGATCCCGGATTCATCGCCGCTCTCGAGGAGGCCAAGCAGGGATTGGCCGAGGGAGGTGTCCCCATTGGAGCTGCCCTGGTGTCCAAGGATGGCAAGATCCTCGGTCGCGGTCACAATATGCGCGTCCAGAAGGGCAGCGCCGTTTTGCATGTAGGTTTCCGCGTCGGGTTTTTTTTCTTTCTTGGTTGGACAGACAAGCTCGTGTACTACATCAAATTGTCGCGTTGGGTGGTTTTACTGTAGTAGCAGCCTGCCCTTGCATGATGACGTAGCTGAGCTGCAGGAGCTTGCGAACTAACTTTTCAATAAATTGCAATTAGGCTGAGATGTCTGCGCTTGAGAACTCGGGTCGGTTGCCCGCTTCGGCCTACGAAGGTGCCACCATGTACACCACCCTGTCGCCATGCGATATGTGCACCGGTGCCTGCATTCTCTACAAGGTGAAGCGCGTCGTCATCGGCGAGAACAAGAACTTCATGGGCGGGGAGGAACACCTTCTCAACCGTGGGAAGGAAGTGGTGGTCTTGGATAACAAAGAGTGCAAGAAGTTGATGGAGGACTTTGTCAAGGACAAGCCGGAGCTCTGGTAAGTTGGAACTTGCTTTTCCATTTTGTCTTTCCATTTTTTTGGGAGCATGGTATCATTTCTTTCCCCCCTTTTTCTATCACATACTTCCGCCACTTTTTGATTTCTGGTAAGAAATGCCCAGTCTGACTATATGGGACCAAACAGGAACGAGGACATTGCCGTCTGAGTCACCGCGAGAAAAGGATTTTGCAGATACGCTGCAGCGGAGATATTCAATATGTATATATATAGTCAACAAGAGAGCAAATGAGTCATACCCACATCAAGTGACAATCTTAAGCCGCCGTCAAGCGGTGGATTTCCTCGAAGTAGAATTTGAGGTCATCGGGATTGACGAACGGAGTGATGCCTAATCACCACCAGTATTATTAGTATACGCGAAGCTTCAACATCCAGACCGGGATATATCTCACCGTGTCCCAAGTTGGCAATCCAGCCCTTCTTGCCCGGCCAGAAGCCGCGGACCATAGTCTCCACGGCCTCGGTGATGGCCTCGCGGGTACCGTAAAGAACACCCGGATCAGCATTGCCCTGGAGCGTCACACGACCGTTCGCAATCTTCTTGGCCTCGGCGGGATCATGCAGCCAGTCCAGACCAACAACGTTGTAGCCAGACTCGCACAGATCCTCCAAAGCAAACCAAGCCCCCTTGGCGAAGACCGTCATCGGGACAGGTTCCAGACCCATCTCCGTCAACTTCTTTGGGAGATTCTGCGAGATGTAGCGCAGGTATGGGAGAGAGAACCGGCTGAAGGCCACGGGCGACATCTCCCCAGCCCAGGAGTCGAACACCTGCACCAGCTGCGCGCCGGCCTCGACCTGAAGCGCCAGGTACTCGACACAGATCTCGGCGATCTTCTGCAGCAGAGCCTTGGACTCCTCGGCGTATCTGTAGATCCACTTCTTCGACTGCACGAAGAGCTTCGTACCTCCACCTTCGACCATGTAGCACAGCAGGGTCCAGGGCGCTCCGCAGAAGCCGATCAACGGCACCCGGCCGGCCAGCTTGTGGCGGGTGAGCGTGATGGCCTTGTAGACGTAGTCCAGCTCAGCCTTGACGTCCACCTTCTTCTGCATCACCTTCTCGTACTGTCCGTCGTCCGGCGACTGCAGCGGTTGCGGGAAGTGCGGGCCCTTCTTGTCGACCATCTCTACCTGCATGCCCATGGCCTGGGGGATCACCAAGATGTCGGAGAAGATGATGGCGGCATCGATGAGTCCGGCGTACCGCTCAATGGGCTGGAGAGTCAATGTGGACGCAATCTCGGGGCTGCGGCAGCATTCGAAGAAGTCGCGGTTGCCTTTCGCTTCGTGGTATTCGGGGAGGTAACGACCAGCTGTAGCAGAATGAGCCACCCAGGTTAGTGACTGTTACTGCACATTCTTCTTCGAGCCGCAAGTCCTTGATTTGGAGGATGGAGGGGGAATGCGTACCTTGCCGCATGACCCAGATCGGAGGACGAGGAACCTCCTCGCCTAGTGGAGAGTTAGCTTGCTTCGATGATGAGCATGTATTTGCAGTTAAGGCTACCTCTGGCGGCCCTCAGCAGGAGGTCGTTCTTCAATGGTGCAAACTGTTCGGGCATTTTGGTTGCAAAGGTATTTTACAGAAGAGGAAGAGGGGACCTTGGGAAGGAGGGGTTTCCATGACATGCGCAGGTCCTGCCGCTCGGTGCCTCGGGCCGCCAATCGGCTGATCACCGCTGACTACGCGGAGTAGAATTAGTTAACTAAGTTACAGTGTGAGTTGAGTAGATTATCCGCCAAAAGACCCGAGGCTGGATCGCAGGTTCGACATACTCAGGAGCTCCTCTTCAAATTACAAGTATAGGGTGAGAACTGTGATTATGGGGCATGCGCACAAGAGAATTCGAATTAGATGTTTGATTGCTAGCTATAAAGCTTCCTTACACCATGCTGCGGCCACTTCCATCGTAGGACCTAGACCTCCAGAAATAGATATCCCAATATTCCTAAACTTCTACAAGCGCATCACTCAACCTACACATAGACTTTGGCAAGACACTCAGTCAAGGTGTGGATCGAGAAGCTGGCTTTACGTCCTACGACGAACCAACGCAGACCTATTTTCAATTGATGTTAGCCTTCAGGTTGCCTCAAGAGCGTGAGTAACAAAAAGTGAAAGGGTAACAGAGGTGTCAGCAAAAAATTAGAGTGTAAGTTGTTGCTGTTTTTGATCTTCAAAGCCGTAGCTACGAGTTAAAAAGGATCATCATCCACCGAAGGAAAGTGTGCATGAAAGACAGATTTCGAAAAAAAAAAAGCTCACCTTTGTTGATTCATCATATAATGGAGCGTAGACTACGTTCCATTATGTAGATGAGAGAAGGATCACAACATTCATGACCATGAAAATCATTTCATTCATCCAATCGTCAAGACTGGCAAGAAAGATATCTAAAACATGGTGTGCATGTCACGTGCAAACTAGACGCGAGACGCTTAGTCGAAAAGACCGAAGCCCATGTCCTCGTCAGACTCCTCAGCCTCCTCAGCAGGGGCCTCGGCAGCGGGGGCATCACCGCCAGCAGGGGCAGCGGCGGCAGCGGGAGCGGAAGAAGCGTAAGCGTCAGGGTTGGCGATACGGTCCTTGAGCTCCTCAATCTCGGGCCAGGAGATCTCAGTCTCGATGGCAACAGCGAGAACCTTCTTGTAGCTGTTGACCACGGAGTGGACGACAGAGGGAAGGGTGGGGAAGTTAGCGGCCAAAGAGATGCTGGTGATGGTCTTGATGGCAGCGCTGAAGGCATCGAGGAGCTGGGACTCCTCGATGTCGAGAACCTCGGCACCGAAGGTCTGACCCTGGTCGTAGACCTGGGAAATGGTCATACCGTAGGTGAAGGGAGAGATGTTGAGCATGTTCAACAGGGTGGCCTCGGAGGGGCCGACCTTGGCACCAGCCTCAACGAGCTTCAGATCGGTGGTGATTTCAATGGTACCACGAGCAATCTTGGTGGGGACACCGAGAGCCTGGAAGAAAGAGGTCTTACCGGGTTCCATACCGGTGTTACCAGCGGGAATCCAGACATCAGCGGGGGCAACGGCACCGGCACGAGCGGGAGCAGCGACACGGTTGGCCAGGATCTTCTCCTTGGTGGACTTGAGGTCACCGTTGGTGAAGATGAAACCGACGTTACCTGCGCGTCTCAGTCAGCTTCCTAGCTCCTTGACGCAGACGTGTGGATCATGACCTACCCTTGACGAAGGGGAGCAGGCGCTCGTACTCCGGGTTGTCGGTGACGAAGCCCTTGATGGCACGGCGGACCTTTGATTACACCATTAATATGCGACGGCCAATTGACGGCAGGGGAACGAGAGACAACTTACCATGGTGTTCTTACCCATCAGGACGACACCCTCACCACGCAGAGAGACACGGATCTCGTGCATCTGCTGGGAGCTGACATTGTCGACACCGACAATGAAGACGGTCTTGTACTCATCGAGAAGGGCCTTGAGCTTCTCGAAGTAAGCGGCCTTGGTAGCAGACTTGCCCCCCATTTCTCCTTATTTCGCTGAAGAAAGGCTGTTTAAGGGCAAGGGAAAATTTGTTGAAGTTGTTGTTGTCCGAATAAATCGAAACGTTGAAGGATCGAAGAAACAATCGCGCCGCGGATTTTAGGAAATCTTTACTCGGTTGTGGCCTCGCTAGCCGATATGTCACGTGGGCCCCGCTCCGCGCTTAGCTCCAGCTCCTGCTTGGAGTAGGCGGTGTCGCATGCGGTGTCGCACTCACGGGCGGTGAGAGGCTTTTTTTTCTGCCTTGTGCCTATTCCATCTATCAAATCGCAAGTGGGGGCAAAGGTTGCTTTCTGCGATTGCTGCTTGCGATATCCATTATTATCGGGGCCGAACCACCATCTTTGAGCTCCAATTGAAGCGGTACACCATGGCTCTCAACTTCCAATACCCCTTTCAATGCATTCAGTTTGTGGAGAGGCCGCAGGCTAAGCTTCTGCTTGCCTCCGCTGGCCCACAGCTGTACTCTTACTCTGCCGAGACCGGCCAACGACTTGCGAGCTGGCCACAAGATACCGGCTCAAGTGACCAAGAACCCCCAGAGAAGAAAAGAAAGGTCTCAACGGCGGAGGGCGGCTCTGTGGAAGAGTCCGAGACCGCAGAGAAGACCGAGAAGTCGAAGGCCCCGCCTGCTTGGTCGAACATTCCCATTGTCACTAGCACTTCGAACGGCGAATATGTCATTGCTGTCACAGGAGAAGACAAGTGTATTCGCGTCTTCCAGATCCAAGATGATGGTTCATTCCAACAACTCAGCGAGAGGTAAGCGTGGCCTATGATACTTTCCCACGAACTGAGCGCGCTCGTCGTTGTATACTAACGCTGCCCCCGCAGAATCATGCCCAAGCGACCATCCTCTATAGCATTGACTAGCGATGAGACCACAATCCTATGCGCCGACAAATTCGGAGACGTTCACTCTCTACCCCTCATCCCCAGTAATGAAAAGCCCGCCGTTGCTCCCAGACCGAACAGAGAGGCGAAACTCAGCCATCCTGCCGCAACCAACCTGACCGTGCACACAAAGGGCAATCTGAGAGCTTTGGAACAGCAACTTGAACTCGCCAAGAAGAAAAAGGAAGCAGGGGAGGAGAAGTCTGGCCCCTCGTTCGAACACCATCTCCTGCTCGGCCACGTCTCGCTGCTCACCGACATGCTCTTCGTATCTCTCCCTTCCGACACCCACAAGCGTACCTATATCCTGACCGCCGACCGCGACGAACACATCCGTGTCTCCCGTGGCCCACCCCAGGCGCATGTCATCGAAAACTACTGCTTGGGTCATACAGCCTTCATCAGCAAGATCTGCGTGCCGCGGGACGCTCCCGAGTACCTGATCTCCGGCGGAGGCGACAACTACCTGATGGTCTGGAACTGGACCGAGGGCCGTGCTCTCCATAAGGTTCCCTTGGTCGAGGACTCATCCGCCGCTGAGGTGGTCGTCCGCGGAATCTGGGCCACGACACTCGGGGACCTGCGACTCATTCTTGTTGCGCTTGATGGGTAAGTCCATCTGATCAAATCAACAACAACCGCAGAATCGAGAACGATCAACCACTAATCCTCAATGATCCTCAGATCCTCCCAACTCCAATGCTTCACCCTCGAAGCCGACGGCTCCCTCAAGCCCCAAACCCCGCTCGACCTCACCGGCAATGTCCTCGCCGTGACCAGCATCGAGAAGGACAACACGCTGCTCATCTCCGTCGACTCCGTCCGCACCGCGGGCTCGACTAACGAGTGGCGCGCAAGCCCCTCTGCCCCTTCCATCCTGCTCGAGGCCTTCCGTCTCCAGCAGGGCACCGAAGGCTCGCTGGGCTGGGAACCGACCCTGCAGTCCGCGACCGGCGCTATCAACGCCGTGGGTACGTTGGAAATCGCGGCTACCACCGAAGACAAGAAGCGGGGTGAGCTGAATGATCTATTGTATGCCATGAGCAAGCTTCGCAAGACGCCGAGAGGCGGGGAGGACGAGTAGACGAAGCCATCAAAATGAACCAATGTATACCTTTTGTGAACGTACACGAGTAAACTCTTGTGAACATCACAAACGATCATGTAATTGTACATAGTTATTCTTAGATATTGACATATTCCGTGTAACAGGCCTTGTCAGGGATACGACGATATTCAGACGTTGCTACCAGTAAAAAACTCTTCCGGTGTCGTTTTGAAAGCTCCTGCAGTTTCCTGTGTTGAGAGTGTCCGTCGTAGGTGGCGCTATCTGTATACACATCTTTGCTACGAACCCTTCAACTCATGTATTCTGCGAAAAGCCCGTCGCAGAATTGGACTACTTATAGCGGCCACATTATACCATCTCTAACCAACCCCAACCATGCCCTTGATTCATCCCAGAGGGCTCCAAGCCATTTCTAATCTCACCCACATGTGAGACCGTTGAAATTGTGAAACACCTCTGCCGCGGGCCAAACATCCCACATTTTCTTCGCCCACTTCGCTCACCCCTTACCCCAGGAACAGGAGAATGAGAAGATCACTAGAACATAGACAAAGAAAATTGAGCTCGCTATTGACAGACGGCTAGCTCAGAGCCAAGAGCCACCCTGTATCTAGTTCGGGCACATGGGCATAGATAGCTTTTTATCCCAGCTGCCACGCAAAGTCAACCACAGGCCACACGGCGCAAGCTATGAACACGACCATTCACAGCATACTCCTCTCGCTAGAATCCATCTATCCACAGCAAAGTTGAACGAATCCCATACAGTAAGGTACCACTACCGACCAACCACAAGAAGCCAACCACCATGCTAAGTACGTAGGCAAAACAGCCTGGAAGTATTCCAAAGGGAAGTAAAAGAGATTATATTCATATGTACAGAAAGTACATCCCACCCACAACACACACCTAGAACAAAAGACTGTCACCCGTCATCCCCACTTCGGCCAAACCTACCGCCAAATCCACCCAGATCGCGGCGGAAGAACTTGCCGATATTCTTCAGATTCTCGTTCAGGTTCGCAGTGGCGCTGCTCTCCGCGCCGGGGTTGCTCGGGGCCGAACCAGCGGGATTGGGCGTCGAGGAGGCCGAGATGAGGATGGCTCCGCTGCCGCCACCACCAACACCGGATGTTGCGCCTGCGCCGCCTCCTCCGGGTATCGTGGTTGCCGAGGAGCCGCTCATGGGGGTTCCGAAGCGGTCGACGCCGTCCTTGGCGGCGGAGATGAGGGCGGAGCCGAGCAGGGATGCGTCGAAGCGGGTGGGGAGGTTCGTGGCGCCGATGGACGCGGCGGCCGAGCCGAGTCCCAGGCCCTGGGAGACCGAGGTGGAGGTGGGCGCAGTGGTGGATTGCAGGGCGGTTAGCATGGGGTTACTCTGCTGGAGGTTGGAGGCGTAGCGATCGGATGCGCGGTGGAGCTGGAAGAGTTCCAGGAGGTGATTCTGTTCCTGGCGGCTGCGGATGCCCTTCATGTCAAGGATCTTGCGGAAGTTGGTGTTGTTCTGGTCGGCGATGTGGACGAGGTACGCCTGCACGAGGGCCTCAGGGGGTGAAGGGTGCACCTGCAGGGTCTTGAGGAGGGCTTCAATCTTAGCGAAACTGCTGTTGACGCGCTTGACGAAGCCGGCGGGGGCGGGATTTGGGAGAAGTGATGAAAGACCGGCTTTGAGGGCGTAGGCATCCAGGAGCATCTAGACACAGGTGATTAGTTTGGGAGAGGCAGCGGGACGTAGACGGTGATCGAGAATAGTTTACCTGCTCCGCTCCAGTCTCTGCAATAGGCTTGGACTGGAAGATGTTGGTGGTGAAAAGGTTTGAGATCAGCTCTACAGTGTGGTCTGCAAAGGCCCGCGCGTATTGCTGTTTGTGTAGTAGTTGTAGAGTTTCCGAGCACTTGGTCTGAGTCTTTGACAAGAGTTCGCCCACGTAGGAGCTCTGGTCGCTGACATTTTCCAACCGACTCCAGGGTATATTGCGCATTTCGCGCCAACAAGGTTCCAAGTCGATCTCAACCCTCCGTACAAGACCTCGAACGGTTGCAGACGCTATGCCCATGAATGTGTCCGCCTGGCTCTGCAGGTCCACGGACTGTTTCAAATTCTTATCCAGCCTCCCCTTAATCTTCTCCTCTAACTGGTTACAGGTCGTGTAGCAGTAATCGGCAGTGTTGAGAACCAGGATGAGATCCTCGAGGTTGGGTACCTTCGATGGTGTGTGACCACTGGGACGTTCACTGATGTAGTAGAGAAGTACCTGTTGTGCGTATTGGTCCAGGTACTTTGCAAAGACCTTCGCCAGGTCTGCAAGGCTTCCGCCGGTGGACAATTTCGCACATTGCTGTAAAGCATGTCGGTAGAAGTTGAACAGATCCGTCGAGGAGGATATCACTATGTGCGAGTCGAACTCTTCGTCCGGCGGCTTGATCGGCTGCTGCCGGTACTTGGGTATCAGTGCAGCCAGTTGCTTATCTTGAGCCTCGACCCAGACGCTGAGATAGGGCTCAAAAGCCTCCGATATAGCCTGGCCAAACACCGGCGCCTCGCTCGAGGCGAAGGTATCAGTAGAGGGACGAGCGGGGCTCACAAAGCGTCGCTCAAGCGAATGTTCGAAATCCAAGGTTTCTTGCAAACACGACAGGAGCAGATTGACGTCGATCGATTGCCCATTGCGCACCGAGCGCGAGAGGATCCCCTTGAAGTCGTCCCTCGTTCCTTCACAAAAGATATTGGTGAGTGTCTCATTAACCTTCCAAGACGCGGGGAAGATGGGCGCGTATTCCTCATCATAAATCTTCAGAATACGTCTGAACCACGCATACCGCCGCGATATGTTGTCCAAAGATCCTGCCTCCTCGTTATTTCTGAACACCTGACGGTACTCCCGCAGTTGGAAATTGCAGTACCAGGTCACGAGCCTAGATTTGGCGTGTTCGCCCAGCGCATCCATGACCAAGCAACCCTCCGAGAGCGTCGACCTGCGCAGCCCAACCTCCCCCTTGGCGAACGCCAGCTCGAAATCCTCACAAACTTGTTCCAGGAGCTCCCTTTGTATATCTGCCACGTTCTTGCTGAGGAGAGCGATCTGATCGATCGACCGGTACGATTTGAAATGCGCCATGAGCTGAATGACCGCCTGCAGCAGCTGAGCGCAGTCCCGGTATTGCCTGGTCCGACTGAGGGCGCGAAGCTGATCGTAGGCCGTTGTCAGCATCTGCAGCCGCTTCAGGGCTGTCATGGATAGTGTGAGGTTCTTCTTCGCGTTGTCCAATTGTTTGATATCCGCCGTCATCTCCGTGATCGCGAGCTCGGTCTTGGAAGCGCGGTCGCGCACATCGTCGATCTTTTTAAACAGTTCGGTCAGGTCCGCTTTGGCGGCCTGGATGCGCTCAACACTTTCCGCATTCGAGGTGACCTGGTCCTCGACCAGGGCGCTGATATCGTCGTCGAGCTCATCTTCGTATGCGGAGAGGGACTGGGACACTTGTGACACGGCGGAAAGCGTGGAAGGATGGGAGAAGATTGAGTTAAGATGGTCGATAGGATCGTAATCCGCTAGTGCAACAGATTGATCAGTGATTGTGCTTCGTAGGACGCAGGACTGAGGGTTGTCAGCCGAGTCCGCTCACCTGCATCTAAGGGGTCGATATCGGCCGCTCCATTGGAGGGCATTGAGGCGGTGGTAGTGGTAGTAGTGGTGAACATTCCATTAGCTCTTTATTATAAACACCAAACACATGCTGTAATACCAGCTTGAGCGTAGTCGCCGATTCAACATGCACACCACATTCAAAGAAGTACAGGGGGGAGGAAGAACAAAGAGAGCTAGTTAGTTGTTATGGAGTAGGATGGGTTGATCAGCTCCAAACGATGGGGGGGGAAAGCGGGAGGCGGGGAGTTGGTTCGGAGAAGCTCACAAAGCGCGGGCGGGAGTCCGGCAAGTTGTTCAGCACTCCGGGCTCAACACATTGGAACTTGTTGGATTTCTTGTCTGGTTACTCCAACAATCTACAATATCTATTCAAGCTTTCATTTCCTTCGCTTACAGCGGTTGATATGTGAAAATTTTGTGGATGGTAATGAATCTGCCTAGGGGGTATTGTTCTCCAATCCCCAGGCTCTTTGTTTATGGACATAATATTCGTAGTCTTGGTTGATACATAACAGGATAAGATGGAAATAAAAACTAGATTCAGTATTTGAGTCTTCAGCCCGATTTGCCATTCGCCCGAGCCATGCAATAAGAAGCAGCAAAACAGACCAGGTCAAAGTAAGACAAAATTGTAACTCCAAGCAAACACCATTGGGATCTAGCAAAGTGTGATTTGAACCCGCCGTTCTGTCGTTGACGAGCGGCGGTGCCGAGTGTTTAGACTGTTCCGGCTAGGAAGGCTTCAGGGGGCAACGTTCCCTGTTCCTGTAGATGGATTAGTATGGATATCTTTTGCAAACAGTCTTCTGGTTGGTCTTACCTTGAGCTTGGCAAAGTCCTGCAAAGCTTTGTCCAAGTCCCAGCCATTTCCGCTGATAGCCAACTCGGAATACTGCAAGGTCATTCCAGTCTGGCTCATGACTTGAATTACGAGTTGCTCTTGCTGCACTTGAGTCTCACTCTTTCCGGGGGCAGGCATGCCATACCCTTCCGGGGTGGCTGGTGGTCCCACCACCTGCTGAGGAACAGCTGCCTGATCGATAGACTGCTGGGGGGTTGCCTGTTGAGCCGCCGGTTGAGCGGCTTCCTCGGTTTCTGGAGCCCATGCTTCGTTACCGCCATACGCGCGACAACATAGGATGTCGTTGATGACTCTCACTCCACCCGCGCCGCCGCCAGGGCCTAATACGAACGTTCTGTCGAAGCTCCGCGTGTCAATCTTGGAGCTCTTGCCGATTTCGTCGTATTTACCGTGAACTGTGATCAAGAGGCCGCCAACACCAGTGGGACTCTGGCCGGTCGGATCAACCAGTCCTGGGATGGGATAACACTCAATCAGCCAATCCTGAGGATGCGCCGCGATATCCGGGTGTCTTGTGGCAGGAAGGCTGTTCCATAGCTTGCGGATTTTGTCCGCACCGTTATGCGATCGAGACATTCTTGCGGTCAAGTGCGTGATTCTAAGCAGGTTCCTGCTATTCTTGATGTACGCGTCCCAGGCTGCAACATCAGCTTGCTGGGCTCTGGGAGCGGCGGTGTTGATGTTAAGAGTGAATGTGGATTCGTTGTCGTATACGCTATCAAGCAAACCGTTCCGGTCATTGTCGTAGCCCGAGAAGAAAGCTCTAATGAAGTTCTCGGCAATGCAGCCCTCGTCCCGGAAATACGGTGCCTGGACAGGAATCGGGGATTTCTTCAGTGCGGCCAATTCTTCTGCGGTCCGAACTTCGATACCATTGAGGACTCGGAGTTTGAGATACCACTTGAGCATGGTGTCCTTGAACGTAGGGTCGGCACTGAAAGGGGTGTTGGAGAGGTCCAGGAGCTCGAGATTTTCGAACTTATGGCGCCATGCCAGCAAGGACTGTGCGTCCTTGAAGTCGTTGTGCGAAAGGTCGAGGTTTTTCAAGTCTGGGAAAGCTTGCGCCAAGGTGGTGACCATCTTAAGATTCTCAAGCTTGTTGGCCCTCAGACTGACACTCTCGACCGCCCGGCGACGCGCGGCGGGGCTGTCGAACACCAGGCTAAGATTCAGCTCCCAAACCTTCATCAGCGCAGGAAAGAATTTGGATTCAGTTGAAGTGCTTTGGAAAATCCCCATGGCGATGAGATCCGGATCGTTGTGTAGATCCGAGAGATCAAGGAGCTTGTTTTCTCGGTTAAACCGCTTGGCGAGGAAAGCAGTCATCTTAGCCTTCGTGTCGGCGGCCGTGGGCGTGCTACCGTTCACAGGTAGCATCGCCTGGTCTATCCCAGCTTCATCATATTTTTCAATTTCCAAAATTTTGCCAGCAAAATTAAAGCCGTTGAGCTGAAGCATTCTGTTTAGCAGTTCCGGCTTGATAGACACGATGATCGCGTCGCCTTCGAGCCGCGACTAGTGAACGTTAGTAAGACGCAAGAGACCTCCCATGATCGCAATCATCCCAAGGAATAAATGCCAAATGAGCGGAAGCAAGTGTCGACCGTCGTTCTGGAGGTACCATCACTGAAAACGAGAGCACATCGGAGAGGACGACGCTGGTGATAACTCATATGTCGATGATCGCAAGTTCTGGTGTTGCACATACCTTAGTGATCCTTGCGCGTGCGCTAGCTCTCGCGTCGGGTGGGCTGAGTTTCTTCTCGAGGAAGGCGATTAGGCTTTCTTGGCCGCCGTCGGGATTCGATTTGGCCTTGCTCCCCTTCCAGTTGTTGACCCTGACCTGTTCCAGATTACTGGCCCGGCCACCTTGGCGGATATTTGCTTGTTGCGATTCCGAGTTGCTGGAAATAGCCTTCTGAATGGCATCGATAGCTCGGGTGGATGTCTGAGACCGTGTTCCAGAAGAAGCGCCGGATCGAACAGAGTCCCCACGACCTCTCTTCGCACGGGCCTGAGACGTATTTCCATCCATGACCAGATCACCTTCCCGATCGACCTTTTTCGCAGCACCCCGCTTGCGGATGCCCCCGCGATCCGAAGCGCTGGGTCGGCCTCGAGCCTTTCCGTTCTTCATAGTGGGCAACAAAGAGAAGATTCGTGATATGGATGGTGTTTGTCGACAAGATTGTGTGTTGGAGGGAGACGAAGTCGGGCGTCGACGATGCGAAGAAGGCTTTTGTAGGCAGATGGAGCGCTGCGCGCCTTGTCGTCCAGAATCAGGCAAGCGGCATTCAATGAAAGATGTTGAAAGAAGTCGCTTACGAGGTCGAGTGAGATGAGATGAAAGAAAGACTCTTTGAATCGGTGTCCTAAATTTGGGGAACCTCTGGTGCGTTTGAGAGAGTACCACCAACCAACCTCAGAGTGGAGGTTTGAAGGAGGGGAATAATGGAACAATGAAAAAGCAGAAGCTAGTTTAGAGACAAGTCAAAAGAGTCAGCAGAAAAAGTGACGTGCACCCGGGACGATGCGCATCACGTGAGCGGGCAGCAGACCGCCCTGCAACTGATAGCTACCACGTGACCCCCTATCAGGCACTGTTTCCAAGCATGTCCAATCAGAGTCTGTAGTCTGTCCTTTGGCACTGTTGGTAATACCTTCGTATTGATGCATGCACGTCGGTAGATAACCGTACCGCGCTAATCTACAAGGAGTAAAATTGCAACAATACCCCCCGTACTCGGTATTGGCCTGATACCCGCAGCGTTAAGTCCAGTCAGTAGTTCTCCGCTTCAGCTTTATCAGGACAGCTTGTTCCATTGAAGTCGCACGCCAGTCGTCACTCCCAGGAGAGGATTTGCTTTGTGCTGGAAACTTACTGTCCTACCACCTCACTCACTCATTCACGTACGTTCCCTGATCTATATCCCAAGATATTCTGTCCCATTGAGCGACCTCAACCCAGTTGGCTAACATTCAGCTTCAGTCATTATTTACCAGGCGCCGCCCCTGCCTTGATCGCGGGCACTAAATAGCTGATCTCCGGTCCATAGCGAAGACCGCGCACCCTTCCACATACACGACGACCCTCTTCGCATGGTCGTCAATCTGTTAGAGAGATGCCGGCCAAATCACGATTTACAAGGTTAGATGCGTTCGCCAAAACGGTCGAAGATGCGCGCGTTCGAACCACGTCTGGAGGAGTTATCACCATAGCATCGTTGCTGGTTATATTCTGGCTTGTATGGGGAGAATGGGTGGACTACAGGCGTGTAGTGGTTCTGCCCGAGTTGGTGGTCGATAAGTCAAGAGGTATGAACAAACACTCTTCTCTTTTGCATGAGATTGCATGAAAAACGAAGCAAGACTGACTGAACAACTTTTGGCGCGAAACAGGCGAGAAGATGGAGATTCATCTGAACATGACCTTCCCCCGACTCCCTTGCGAAATTTTGACCCTCGACGTTATGGATGTGTCAGGCGAGCAACAGACGGGCGTGGCTCATGGTATCAACAAGGTGCGCTTGACTTCGGAGGCTGAAGGAGGTCGCGTGATTGATGTGAAAGCTCTGGAGCTGTAAGCTTGAACCTCCCCTTGTTCTTCCTTGCTGGCTATCGCTGACCGTGCTGCTTCCAATCTAGTCATTCTTCGAAAGAGACCGCCAAGCACCTGGACCCTGATTACTGCGGCGAATGTGGTGGCGCACCCGCACCTGCCGGTGCCATCAAGGCTGGCTGCTGCAACACCTGCGAAGAGGTCCGTGAAGCTTATGCCCAAAAGCAATGGGCCTTCGGCAAGGGAGAGAACATTGAACAGTGTGATCTTGAGGGGTATGCGGAGCGCATTGATGCGCAGCGCCGGGAAGGCTGCCGCCTCGAGGGTGTCCTCCGCGTCAACAAGGTGATCGGCAACTTCCACATCGCGCCCGGGCGCAGTTTCACCAGTGGCAATCTCCATGTGCACGATCTCGCCACGTTCTTCGAGCCTAACCTGGCCGAGAACGAGAAACACACCATGACCCACGAGATTCACCAGCTTCGATTCGGACCTCAGCTGCCTGACGAGCTGTCCGATCGCTGGCAATGGACCGACCACCACCACACCAACCCCCTGGACAACACGAAACAGGAGACTAGCGAACCTGGCTACAACTTCATGTACTTTGTCAAGGTGGTCTCGACTTCGTACCTCCCCTTGGGCTGGGATCCGCTATTCTCGTCCTCCATCCACAGCGCCTATGACAAGGCCCCTCTCGGAGCTCATGGAATTGCCTACGGAGCCGAGGGAAGCATCGAGACCCACCAGTACTCGGTGACCTCCCACAAGCGATCCCTGCGGGGCGGCGACGCCTCCGACGAAGGCCATAAGGAGCGACTCCATGCCGCCAACGGTATCCCCGGCGTCTTCTTCAACTATGACATCTCCCCGATGAAGGTCATCAACCGCGAAGCTCGCCCTAAGACCTTCACCGGATTCTTGACTGGAGTCTGCGCGATCGTCGGTGGTACTCTGACTGTGGCCGCTGCCATTGATCGTGGGCTGTATGAGGGCGTCAACAAGATGAAGAAGCTTCATTCGCATTGAGGTTGTGCTCTGCTGCTATGTTCAGCAGACTACGGGAGACATACACAATAAAAAAATAGAAAAAGAACAAAAAGATAAGAGAAGTACTCGAAAAATCAAGGGAAAACAGACAGCTGCGCAGGAGCATCAGCAAGGCAGGGCACTCAGGCAGTCCAGGCGTTTTAGGTCCATACACCATGATACACATACTATCATATCCATTGGAAGTTTGTATTAGCATATTTCTCAAGATGAAATCAATTGAGTGTTTTGGGGTATAATCTGTTTCTATCCAGTAATCCAGTAAGACAGGGCAGAGATCCAGTGGCGAATGCCGGGGCCCTGGAATCTGGACTCCCAGCAAGCATGGATGAACCAAACCCGGGGGGTGCGGCCACCACCGCTTATGACGTTATAGCAACTAGTTAGCTTAGTTACTATTACACTCCCTCCCCCTCTCGGCGCACGCGACCGATTCCATTCCTTGAGGCCTTCTTTTTTGTTTCTTCTAACTGTAGGCTATGATGTTCCACGATTCCATGAGACCATGTTCACGATCTGCCGCAAACCCAGATTATTGATCCGTCCACTCGAGCGCACCCTACCGTCTCCCCGCCACCATGCCTTAACAACCTCCGCGGGGTTGCGCTATACTCCCATTCGAACCCAGACGACAACCACGCCGCTCCCTCCGCATCAATTTCCTACAACGGGCTTCGCAAAGCTTGATCCGTCGGAGGCACTGGAAGAAGAGCAGCTCCCCTACTATGAACCGAAACACTTCTACCCTGTCCACCTCGGCGAGGTCTTCGCGGCCCGATACCAGGTCGTCGCCAAGCTCGGATACGGCACCTCGTCGACCGTTTGGCTTTGTCGAGATCTTCTGTACGTTTCCCCCCGTTGGAGGACATGATACATGCAACTTCCAAAAGAGTCGCACAGCGAAATGCTTCGCACACGGAACAGACGAATGAAGGCAACTGAACTCAGCCCCTCAGGACCCATGGATACCGCACCCTCAAGGTATGCGCGCAAGGCCACGATCCCGCGCACGAGGTCGCCGTCTCCGAGCACCTCCGAAACACCCCGGACCATGCAGGAAAGGCGCTCGTGCGGCTGGTGCTGAAATCCTTCGTGGTCTCCGGACCCCACGGGAAGCACCGGTGCCTGGTGTACAAGGCCTGCGGGATGAGCATGACCAAGTACATGAATGGGTGCACCCTGCCCACGGAGCTGGGGCAACGGAGTCTCCAGCTGACCCTGATCGCGTTGTCGTTTCTCCACGCGAACCAGACCGTCCACACCGGTAACAGCCTTGTCGCCCCTCAGTTTCTTGATCCTCTCATCTGAATCAAGAGAGACCCTTCGCTGACCAGCAAAACACCAACCAAACAACAGACGTCTCCCCCAACAACATCCTCCAAAAGATCGATGACAGCGCCATACTATCCGCCATCGAAGAGGACGAGATGACGCAGCCGATCGCTCGGAAAGTTCTGGACGACCGGACCATCTACCGCTCCCGATCCATGCCCGCCTGCGAAGGGCTCCCGGTTCTCTCGGACCTCGGGGAGGCGCGGTTCGGCCACGAGAGATACCAGGGCGATATCATGCCGGGGATCTACCGCGCGCCTGAGGTCATTATGGGGATGGAGTGGGACTGCAAGGTGGATATCTGGTCCATTGGTGTGATGGTGAGTTGTGGTTTCCAGCCCTCGAAGAATCCCGTACCCTCGATCTACCTGTAACCCCCCACCCCCCGCTGATCCGATCCGAGTGAATAGGCATGGGATTTTATGCAAGACGAGCATCTCTTCTCCGGCAAAACCCACGGGGTCCTGTGCAACGAGCAGCATCTCGCCGAGCTGGTCTCGCTGATGGGGCCTCCCCCGCCGGAATTCGTCCAGAGGTGTAGTAGTAGTAGTAGTAGCAGCAGTAGCAAGTGTGCCAGACTCTTCGATGAACGAGGTATGATCTACCCCCAAGACTATCCCTG